CTCTCAAGTAGGGAGTTCCCCATCGTATAAGTGTGCTGCTGGTTCCTACTACCCAAGTGCAGCACCCTGCACTTGTCCGTATTGAAACACATCCTGTTCCTGTTTGCCCACCCCTGTAACCTATCCAGATCCTTCTGCAATCTCTCTCTCCCTGCTAGCGTGCTCACCTCCCCCCAAATTTTGGTGTCATCAGCGAATTTAAACAGGTTGCTTTCCACCCCAACATCAAGATCGCTGATGAAGAAATTGAACAGCGCAGGCCCCAGGACCGAGCCCTGGGGGACTCCACTACCCACCTCCCCCCAAGTCGAGTATGATCCATCCACCACCACCCTCTGAGTGCGACCCTTCAGCCAATCTGCAATCCATCTGACTGTGTAGGCATCTATGCCACAGTCGCCTAGTTTAGATCGCCTAGATGTGCTTATTAGATTCCCATTTTTGTGTGAAATTGTGAGCTTATATTAATCTTATCAAATAGAAAGACAAGCTACAATGACACAAAACTCTGGGCTCTATTTTAGCCATAAGCTTTTTATCTAGGGATTATCTCATTTTGGGGTTAGAGGGAAATGTATTCTTTTTGGACAAGTTGTAGCGCGGTTAAAATCCGTCAAGTATGTTGTCAGGGTTTTTCCTTGCCAGCCTTCGGTGTGAGGGCAAAGCACGTTTCTTTGGTCAGGCTTTTCTTAGACTGGAGTGTTGGTGGATGAGTGGCACAATACAGAGCTATGGGTTGTTTGATGGAAAATTAGACGAAATGTCTGCTTGAATTCAATCTATTGAGCCAGTTACTACAGCAGTGATTACAGAACAAAACAGTTAACAATCAGGATTTGTATGGGGCACTTTCAGGGAGTGACAGGGAAGTAGTTCTACTTCCAACCCTCTTTGTCAAGCTTCAGACAGGTTTGTGGATGATGTTGTAGCTGTAGTATGGCTTACTTGCAGTCTCTCCTCTCCCTCTCCCTCTCTCTCTCCCCTGCTTGCCTTTCTATTGTGGCAGATTTGGGCCATTACTTCTGTAAAAATTAAAGTACTTTTCTTGCTTCTCGAGATATTTATGGGTGGATTGCAGTTTTACATGTGGAGCCACTGCCACTTGATAAGTATCAACCTAAACTTAAAATCACTATTCTTAATCTTCTAATTTTGGTGAGTTTCATAGTTTTGTAGATGTTAGGGGCTGGAAGGGATCTTACAGATCATTGGGTCCAGTCCCCCTGCACTTGGGCAGGAAAGACTTCTGGGATCAGATGACCCCAGCAAGATGGGGGTCAAGACGCTTTCTGATGATCGCCAGGGTGGGTGACTGTACCACCTCTGGAGGGGACTCTGTTCCAGACCCTCGGCACTCGACTTGTAAAGAAGTTTTTCTTTATGTCCAGTCCGAATCAATTTGTGCCCATTGTTTCTTTCTAGTGTTTCTTGAGTTAATGTAGGAGAACGTACAGGTGACAGAAACATGTCTGCTCTGTACTACAAAAGAATACAATTGCCCTTTCAAAATACTTCTGTCATATTGCAGGTCAGACTTGTTTCTTCATGTGCATTTTGGTTTCTGTTTATTCTCTACTGTAAAATTTGACCTGTTTATTTTGCTCTGGTGGCAGCTGTAGTGGCAGCCATTGCATATTAAAGTTGTGTTAAAATTTGTGGCTAAGTCAAGGCCAAAATGCTTCTGCTTCACATCTTAATGTACAGGTTTAATCTCCAAATTTGAAGCTAATAATGCTCCAGACAGCAATTGAATTTTCTTGTGACCTTTTTAAATAAAACATATTTGTTGGTATTTCTGGTTTTGTTCTCTTTTATTTATTTACTTATGTTTTATAAAGGATAGACTTAAACATAAGCTCATTTTGGGTATTGTGCCTGGTATTTCTTACATTTTGAATTCCCAGTCCTTTAACTCTACACCTGTAGGCACATCCAGATTCTGGTAACATTAGATCTAGGCCACTGCTACTATATTAATATTAAATATAGATATGTCTTTGTAGCTGTGAGAAGATTGGTTGACAGAACTTCTTGGATCCATCATTCTTTGTTGATGTCAATGTGTCTGACTTGCCATTTAAGTGAAAACTGGATTCTTGATTTTTTTTGTTGTGTTATTTTTGTAAACTGAGTGATTTTTCCCCCCCCCATATCATAATTCTCAGCAGTTGTGCTGATAGTGTGAATTCTGCACCTTCATACATGACAAAACATTGCTCTGTTACAAATAGACTCAGATTGCTTCCTTGTATTAGGAGTTTTTGTAAAATCTCTCTCTATATATATTTTGTGTAACAGTCAATGCAAAAATGGTACATAGCCACAATTTGAACATTAATTATAGTATTCCAGTAAAAGATGAATGGAATGATTTTGGATATAGATCTTTGCAAGAGGTTGATAAATAACCTTGCCAAAGAGTCAGCATCAGAACTGTTGGCCATAATATCCAGTTATTAGGGGTAAACTGATATATCAGTTGCTCTGGCCAGGAATACAGCCAGAGCTATGGGCAGCTCATCTAGGAGGCATGGCAGGGGCATGGGGGTGCATGTGCCCCCCGGATTTGTGTGCAGGGTGGATGTGGGCTGCCTGCAGTGGGCTTGGGGCTCTCTGCTCTGCTGCCTTTCCCTTGGGAGCCCCACGCTGGCTGTGCACCCCCTGCCCACCTGGTAGCAGTGGGGGTGGTGGCAAGTTGTGCCCACTGCTGCTGGGTGGGCAGGGGGTGCATGACCAGTGTGGGGCTTCTGGGGCAAAGGCGGCAGGGTGGAGAGTCACGGCACCACAGTGGGCAGCTTGCATCCGCCCTCACCCCTCTCAGCTGTTCCTCTTAAAAGCATCCCTGAACTTAAAAATGGTGGTGCTTGAACTAAAGCTCATTCGAACTAAAGCCCCACTGCCATTTTTAAGACTCAAGACACTGATACATGTGACACAGGAGGCTGCTGGAGTGCACCAAAAAAAAAAATGCATTAGAAAACTATTCATTCACAACACGTTAGAAAACTATTTATTCTCCTGCTCATTGCAATGAATAACAGCAATTCAGCATGAACAGACTGTTATCTTACCCTCTGCCAGTCCAAATTCTGCTGGGCCAGCCGCAGAACTGAGCCTGACAGATAAGCAAATGCTAGTGTTTATAGTAGTGTTGAAATAACAAATTGAACAAATGCAGTGAAACGGGATAGCAGCAATAATAACAGCTGAGTTTAAAAGATGCTGCATAGCTTAGCTAATGAGTTATAACAAATTCAATTTGGCTGCCTTATAATGATGGCATTTTTCTCTGATTCATGATAGTTACATTTTCCAGCAAACTTTGTCAAACCGCACTATTTCAAGAGGAAACAAATGTTAAAGTCTCTAAGAGTTTGGTGTTTTTTCAGAACCACCAGATGGCTGTTTGTTAACTGGCAGAGACTCCAGGAAAACGACTAATTTATGAGGAGAAAAAGAAAAGGGACAAAATCCTTTTCTGCTTTAGAGCAGTAGACAACATACAAGAAATTATTATGCAGGATGTGATCATTCTATGCATGCTCCTAGATTGGTGGTTCTCAAGTGGCACCCAGTTTCAAAAACTAATTTACATATTACAGTGTTGACCTCTTTGCAGTGGGGCTGTGGGATTGGCCAGGCAGGGATAAGCCTGAGCCTGCACTTAACTGTTTCTCTCCTCACACTTCAGAGGATCTGGTGGCAACCCAGGGTGCCACACAGCACCTGTATTACATTATGCAGGCAGGCACACTGTTTCTGCTTTAGCTATTTCTTGTTTCTCTGCATGAGTCAAACCTAGAAGAGCTACATCATGAATGGTGCATCTGCCTGTATAATGTAGTGCAGTCAGATGTATTGCCTCTGCTATAGCAACTTCACAGTTGAGCTCCATGTGCCTCCTGAAAACCAAGGCATACAGTGCAACTTCACCCGTGGTGGCGGCAGCCCAGAGGAGACGTGTTGGAGACAAACTGGGAAGAGCTGCAGCAAAACTGACATACCTGCCTGCACGGGGACAACTAGCAGAGCAGCACCTTGTGCCACCCTGTGGTGTGTGGCAGGTTGCCCCAGGTCGGGTAGGGGTGGCTGGAGCCACCACTGGGCTGGACCCGGCAGCCTTACCTGGGGGTCTGGGGGCCTCCTGGGGTTGCAGCAGTGGTGAATTTTTTTTTATTCTCTGGCAGCCTGAGCACCAAGGTTTATGAAAACAGATTGTGAAGTGGGAGCTAAATGAGTGAGTCTCAAACTGGGTGCCAGGGCCTGGCTTTTAGGAGACTCTCACCTTCTCCTGCCATGGCCTGGTCCATAAACTGTATCCAAGAAGGCAGTTGTTCAGGTTGAAGGGAAGCAGCTGGAGCAGTCTCCTTCATGCCTCTGAAGTTTCAGGGACCAGGCTAGAGGAATATAGCCATATAGTTCTGGATCATGCAGTTTACACACACATGGCTGTCTTCTTAAATAGTAGAGCTCTGTTGCCCTGAGGGAGCAAAAGGGATACGAGTTTTTGACATGTGAGTGCTCACCAAAAATAATGCATGGCATTTTCTTAAAGCTTGATGTTGCAAAATATAAAGACTACATTTACACACGATCTGTATGTGAAAGAGAACAGGTATACATTCCATCTTAATTTTCTGACTTGTAAGTGCTTGATAACAGGACCTTAATGTTCTTAGTATTTTTTAGAATTATTATAATTTGTGGAAGCAGGGGAAATGAGTCTTATATGTTTCAATACTGTACATGCTTCTGTGCACAGTTGTAATATAGTTTTGATAAACTTAATTACTTGTTCAGCAGATCATAGTATCTGTTTACACATGTGTCATTAACTGTTACCATTATTTACTGTGGTGTGTTTATTATAATTTGTTTTATGTTTACTGGAACCCACGTAGAAAGGATTAAACATGCTATCTTTATTATATATAGCTATTTTAACTGTCCTAATTCCAGTGGGACTGGATATTTTAACTGGTTTTCATTAATATCATCAGGTTAAATGGGCTAAAGAAAACTACCATCACAACATTGGCTCTCCATATTCTCTGCGTTTAGCCTCTGCTGATGCCACTGGAAAAATAATTGTTTGGGATGTGGCAACAGGAACAGCTCGCTGTGAAATACAGGAGCATACAAAACCAATCCAAGGTAAGGAAGTCGTATGATGTTTATATGATCCGTGAGTTTAAGTTGGAGCTTGGAGGTAGAACTCACTCATTCTGTTCAGTTCATCACTGACTGACTGTCTGACTGAGAAATCATTTGCTTCCTCTGCCTGTTTAAAGTAGATGTGAGAAGACATATCAACCATCTGTGAAGCTGTGGGGCTTAATTTATACCTACAATGCCTTCTTGGGATCTTTTCATGAAAAGTGCTATAAATTACAATTTAAAAAAATTAAACGTATTGATAAAAATTAATGCAAAGAATTGAATGTTTTCTTGTTTTGCTTTAGGGACTTAATGCAGTTTGTCGCCCATATAAATACTACTGACATTTATAACAGTACAAGACCTATGCAGCTATACAGCACTATAAATCATGTATTTCTCTGTACCCTTTTACCTTAAAAGAAGTATTAGAAGATACATTTTATATAGCTGCTACTAACCAAGCATGTCAGTATGATGTTACATTTGTAATGTATAATTATAAGGAATACGTTTTTCTTGTAAACTATTAAGCTTTGAGCATGTATAGCTGTTGTCCTTGGGGCTCAGGAGCAAGATGCTATTCTGTGTGTATGAGGTTATATGTACAGTGCAGGAAAATGGACTAAAGAAGGAAACAAAAGCGGGGGAGATATATTGGGAGGAGGAATTTGGTTCTTGAAGTCCCATTTCTGAAGGGAGTTACTTTGCAACACTTCAATGGGAAGCCATACGTGTGTAGTCCTGCTTACCTAGGAATTGGAATGTTCTTTATTTCCATAAAACAGTATTATAGATTAATGCAGTAATTCCCAGCAGTTTTCAAATTTCTGTCTAGGACCAGGACCCTAGGCAACATGTTTCTTAACACAAATTTCACACACATTTGGAGTTGTAATCTTGGCAAGAAATTTAGGTTGTTCTTGCTGTTGGGTGCTGCTGAGAGTTTTTAGGGAAGGCAGGTGCTTGGTTTTGCATAATTGTTTCTTTGCCCTAATTCCAGTGGGACTGGATATGCTGTTAGTAGTAACTATGAATGATGCCTTGTGGGGGTCTTCCTCCACTCATCTCGCTTGCCACCAGACAGCTTAGTTTTGGAGACTGGAAGCTGACTCCATAATTTCTAAGAGCACCTCTTGCTGTAGAGTTCACAGCTATATTTTTAGGGGCAATGAAGAGAGAAAGGGAGCCGAAGACTTGACCTGGAGTTGTGGGGTAGAGCAGATAAGAGCAGAAAGAAAGCTTGTTTTTCTCTTTGTCATTGGCCTTCAGTCTAGCAAAAGCTTCTTGTGGCATATTGCTATACGGCAGTCCTGGGACTTATGACACAATTGGTTCCTGAAAACTGCATCTTAAGTCGAAATGTAACTCAGAACCAATTTTCTCATAAGAAACAATGTTATAAATGGGGGATTGGTTCCTAAACCAAGGCCTGATACCCTATTTTCACCAAAAATACCCCAGAATTTTGTACTTGATCAATTATAGATGGGTAATATAGCTACATTAATGTATTTATACTGTAAATAGTAATCATATTGATTTGGAAGGACCTCTTTGAAGTAACTTTGCTGGACTTTTTGAAGGGCTCTTGGTTGGACTTTTTGGAAGGTTCTTGGCTGGAGTCTTCTCAGGAGTCTTGACTGCAGGTTTTGCTGGAGTCTTGTCTGCTTTCTTAAAGAAATTGTCCAAGGAAGTTTGGACAGATGTTCTCCAGGGAGATGGGTGGCGTGGTGTCACATCGAATCAAGTATTGTAAAGTCAAAACCGACGTCATAAAGTTGAAACAGGGTGTCGATTTATAAATGTTGTAAGTGCAAAACGTTGCAACTCAAAACGTTGCAAGTCGAGGACTGCCTGTACATACGTTCCATCACCAGGCCAACATTCCCGTGCTTTCCCTCCTCTCCCCACACACAAACCTACCTGTCTCGCATCTAGTGTCTCCCATGGCCTCCGATCCTCACTGCCATCCATTTGCATTTTCATAGACCTGCATTTTGCATATTGGCTTCTGTTCCATCCAGGAGAACACAAAGCACCAGCAGACTCTCCCTATGCTGAAGAAGGGTGTTTGTGCCCTAAGCTTGCAAAGAACAATTTTTACAAAGAACAATTTTTCCAATGATTTAGTTGTTCTAATATAAGATATCACATCTACCCAAAGAACCTTGTCTGCCTGTGGCCCAAGAAGGTGAGAAGTCCTACTTTGATGATTGAATTGGGAACTGTTTAACCAGGAGACCTAGATGCTTTTCCTGTTTTCACCAGTGATTTTATGCATGATCTTTGGAGCATGTCACTTCATGCATGCTGCTGTATGTTTCCCTGGCTATACAATAGGGATAATACTACTTGTCCACTCTTGTAAAATAATGAAGTCTTTGGCTAAAAGTAGCTATATTATTATTGGTAGCAGGGCCTTGCAAGTAGCTTCTGTTTGTCATGCTGGCTGTTAAAAGAAAGGCAACTTTATTTTGTTGGGAATTCTTAAACGCACAAGTTCCCTACAAATGTTAAGTGTTCTTGTGATTTTACAATAAATAAAAAATCTTCTGTTTTAGTGCTACTTACATCGTTGTTAACATGGTTTATTTATGAATTTATATATTTTGGAGCATCATTCCTGTGCAATTACATTTCCATGGTGAGTTTCCAAGAATAATTGCTAGCTTATTTGGTCTCTGAGCTGGCTTTAAAACTCCACATGACGCTGACATTCTATTTTTATCTTTTAATTCTATTATCTGAAAAGCCACTTAAGAAATTAGAAAACAGAAGCATAAAACACATCAAAACCTTGTTACAGTGGCTATGACACAGGTTCAATTAATTTAATTAACCTTTGTTTCTTCTGTAATGTTGTATGTTTTCTTTTTTTAATACGACTGAGTGGAATACTATTTGCAGTGGCTTTGTACATTTTGTTCAAAACCATTTGCATTCATTCCTAGTCATATATAGTTTATGCATTCTCACCCAGAGTAAGTTTTTATGCCTGTTTAAATATCAGATATTTAAGTCCATGTTGTTTTAATGCCACTTCAAGGTGGGGAAAGATTACATTTTAATTTGCAATTGAAAGTTTGAGCCTTAATTTCCAGTCCATCTCCCAAGCCTTGCAGTACAGATAATCTCTTCCCATACTCCTGCATATAGCCCATTGTCACAGAAATGTTTCTTGGTGTCTTAATATAAAACCTCATAGTTCATCTCTCTTCCTGTGATCATACAGTACTTCTCTAAACACAGCAATGAGTTATACAGGAAAAAGGTAGAGAAGTTTTCTGTATCCTTCACTGTCTTTAATGCAGGAATTGCTTTCTTCCATGCCTTGCTCTAATACCATATTTTATTGCGTACAAAACACACAGCTTTCCAAAAACCAGCCACTGGAAAATGGTGAGCACGTTGTAATCAGGGGAATTTAATAACAGCAGTCGCACATGTTTCTGCCAGGCAAAAGCAAAAGTAACTCAGCATGGGATCCATAGGTATCAGGACAGTGAGTAGGCTCAGCTTCCTAGCTGCTGCTACTTATGTACTTACTATAAGGAAGGATCTTTTTTCCTTCATGCTGCATTTCAGAAACAAAGTGCTCATCTTCTGGGGCATGCTGCATACAATACAACAGTCTGTCATTTTCTGTCATTCTGTGCTGTCTGGCCTGTGAAGTTTTTCTCCCTTTCATTCCTGAACTTTCTTCTTTTGCTGGCATTTCAGTTCCACTGGTACTGTTTCATTAAAGTGGCTTTTTCCTTCCCTTCCTTGTCCTACTCGGCAATAGCTCATAATAGCAGACGATAGTTGGTGCTTCATCCATTCTATCTGGTTCTACAGGCTTTGCTATGCAATCAAGGGCTTGGAAGTCAATGCAACCCAGTGGCAATAAAGAGAGTCAGCAGTAGGATGACCTGCTAGTTCTCCATGCATCATCAGTACATTTCTCACAGATGTCTTGCAGTTTAAGAACTGCTGACATAAAAAACACAGCTATAGTTCTTGTGCATAGTTTAATATAACCATTTCATCAAGCAGTGTATTCTTGGCTACTTTTGGTATAATATTTCTTCATACATTGAATGTCTAGCAGTAAAGGAATGTGAATAGCACCGTTTTAAGGAGAAGACTTCGCTTCCTCTTGCAATGCACCATTAGGTCAAGCAGTGATCAAGGAGTTGCATTTAACTGTATTGCAATTTAAATAGACGCAATCAGCATAAAAATATTTTTTTCTGTGAAATACAGTGAGATGCTGTATGTGCCATGAAGAGCTTAAATAGACAGTGGGAGAAAATATTAATCTTGCTTTATATGTGGGGAGCTGAAGCAGGGAGTTATATGAAGATGTAGGTAAAGAGTCTGTGTTGCAAAACTGCAACAAAGCTCTCCTGAGTCTGTCTGTTGTCTACACTGTTTGGCCGTCTTTCCTCCCACCTCCATATAAATCCTCCTTCCAGGTCACCATAAATCCTTTGATTATAATTATATGCTGTCTGTTTATTCATGAGCTTCAAGTCCCTTTGTGTTCATTGAATTTGGCAAGTCTTGACTGCAAAGGGGTAGAGTGAAACCATGATGAGTACTTTAAAAGAAATCCTTAGTACCATATTTTCTTGCATAATACCTGCACCTTTTCCCCATTCTCCTCCCCCATCCCTGGACCCCTATTTACTTGTTACTGCATATTGGTTCTAGTCTTTTAAAAATATCTTATGCAGAGTAAAAAAACAGATCCACTGCATTCTCCACAGGATAGATTAAAATATACGCTGCATGTGTGGATTAGAAATTGTCTATTATTTTTTTAGAAAAAGAAAGAAATTGCATATTAAAAGTCATCCTCTCTGAAAGATATTTTCAGACTTGAATAAAAAGCTCTTCTCATGAGCTCAGAAACTTTTCAAAGTAATCTGGTATTTCATACAAATGATTTGGTACTTTTTTTGCATTTTTATATTGACTTTTCTATTGCATATGATACAAAAAAGCAATGCCATCTGTTAAAGTGAGCTATAAAATTAAAATTTAATGGAAAGAAAAATTGAGAACTCAGAAGATTTTTAATTACACCCTGTGTTTGAGATTGGAAACATTTTAATACAATTATAACACAAGCACATTCTTTCAATGTGCTGTTACAAGTTTGCTTTTTTATTTATTCAGTATCTTACAGAATTCAGAGATGTCTGAAGCTTGCAGCTTGGTCTACCAGCATATAGGTTTTTCCTTTTTACAGTAATTGTACTGATTTGATTTTTTTTCTCCAGGAAGATTGAGTAAGAGAATTTTATATTTGCATCTGGAAAATAGATCTAAATGGAAATTCATGAAAAGGAGTAGGGAAAAAACTTAAACACATCTACTGATGGGATATTTGTGAGGGATAAACATGTACAAACTTTGGCTAAAAGAGACACCAGGGGAAAAGCAGCAGGGCAGTCTGGAAAAAATGTTAATATTTATATACAAAGCAGAATGAAATGGAAGTTATTACATACACATCACATAGCTATGTATCTTCAATCATATTTCAGTTGTGGAACCTAACCCACCAAGTTTCTGCAGTGCTACTTAACAGGGTAGATTTGATTTAAATCCAGTCAATTTAAATCGTGATTTAAATCATGATTTACATCACTGTTCAGGAAGCCTCACTTTAATCGTTTTCTACAAAAAGTTCATTCTCGTTGTTTGATATTCTTTATTCATTTAACTTCTTGAAACTTTGCACTTTTAAAGCAAGGTAAGGGCTTGACTGTGTGTACACAAACTTGCAGAGACAGTAAGGCTGATGGGTAGGTAATCAGGTCTGTTATCTCCCATCTCCATATACTGCTATTAACAAGGATGTTACAGGTTTCCCTCACTTTATGTGGGTTCCGTATATGCGAATTATGCAATGACCCTTTTTATACCAAAAATTCATTATATGCAAGGTAAATTCACTCTTATGCGATTGGTGTGGTGGAAGCCCACAGTCAACTGCTTTGTGCAGTGCAGTGTGGGAGTGACGCGCACCAAAATATAGTCTCCTGCGTGGATCTGCGCTCCTCGCTTGTTGTCTGTGACATGTGTTTGTGTAGTTGCCATCCCCATTATGGTAACATTCACCACCACCCTGTGCTTGTGTGTAAATGTCTACTGTTGGTGAGTACCAAAATTGTCTTGTAAAGGTGATACAACTAGGTCTGGAGATCAGTACAGTCGAGGTCTTAGAACGTAACCCTATTTGTGACATTGTAAAGTGGGTGCCCTTTGTGTGAATTTGAGTTATGCACCATTTTCTAGGAACACATGTACAGCATAAAGCAAGGGAAACCTGTATCTCAGGAGACAGCAAACTCACTCTATGGCTGAAGGAGGCCGTTTGTGCCTAAAAGCTTGCAAAGAACAATTTTTCCAACTATTTAGTTGGTCCAATAAAAGATATCACATCTACCCAAAGAACTTTGCCTGCCTATGATATCTGGAGATACAAATCCACAGTTTGAGAACTGAAACTAAGCTCCAAAGAGATGCTTCATGGGATCTTCTAGACTAAGCACTGAGTCCTACTGGGTAGAGTGGTTTTCTTTAATCTTCACTAATTTATAGAGAAGCCTCTGGGAACCCCATAAGATTGGGCCCCTAAAATAGTTCATGGCCTATTGTGACTTATTCATAAAACTTCTAAAAAGGTTACATAACTAAATTTATTGCTTTTTTGTTTTAAAAAGCATTTTAACAAAAAATATAGTTAAATAAAAAAATCTGATTTAAATATAAAATCCAATTTTTCAGTTTCTTAAAATAATCACTGATTTTTATCTACCCTGCTTGGGAGCCATATGTGGCCTGTGGGCAACCATTTAGCCCTGCTTTAACTGTACAGTGTAGGCACTTTTAGTTTTCATAATGTTGTATGATATTGAATAATTCTGTGTTTCTTGGCTCTGAACTCTTCCATGGTCAATTTAATTAGTGTTACAAAGTAAAATGTGTTTAAAATTATGCACAGTTCAGTTGATATTAGATCAGAGTAGGCAATTATTTCGGCAGGAGGGCCACTTAATGAGTTTTGGTGAGCTGTTAAGGGCCACGAGGATGGCCCCGCCCCTTGACAAGTGCCTTGCCCCCTGATTGCCATCTTGGGACTGGAAGTCCTGCTCCCTAACCCCTGACCTTTGCCACCAGAAGTCCCTCCTCTTTCCCACTGGAAGTCCCTCCCCTTGCCCCTGGAAGCACTCCTTTTGGGAAGGGGGATTGCCATCTTGGAACCAAAACCCCCCCCAGAGATTATATACTAAACATCAAATATCCACAATGACATGTTTAATTTTATTTTTTTAAATATATTTTTATCCTGATTGGTGTATGTTTGCATTGTGTATATAGAGATAATTGCATAGCTCAAAATTAAGTCTTACTCTTGTATAATTGTGAGGACTGTGGGGGGGTATGGGTGGGTGGGTATGGGATTTGTGTAGGGCTATGGATGTGTGTATGTGGGGGTGGTGTAGGTGGGTATGGGGGGTTTGTGGGGGCCTGTGGGGTGTGTGGAGGGGGGTGGCTGGGGGTGTTTGTGTGGGTGCATGTGTATGGGGCGGTGTGTGCATGTAGCAGTGAGCAGGGCTCCTCCCAGAAGTGTGTAGGTGTGTGTGTATGTGGGGGATGTGAGGGAAGATGAGGGGGTGTGATTGTGTGGGTGAGGGTGTGGTTGTGGTGTTTGTGGGGGAGGGTTTGAGGGTATGGTGGGTTGTGCATGGGAGCCTCTTGCGCGCACCTCCCTGAGCCGGTTAGCACCCACCCCGTAAGTTTCCTTCCAGCTGCCACTGCCGCTGGCCCCAGCCCCATGGTCCTGTTGGGGAACCACGTGCGCAGCCTCAACCCAGCGTGCCTTGCACCTGCTCCAGACTCGCTTATCCAGGTGCAGCACCAGCTGCTGCTGGGCAGAAACTGCTGCTTGACATGGGGGAAAAATGGCCTCTCCCCCTCACCGCTGCTGAGCAGTTCTTAGTGCAACCGCCTGGAGCTTGCACTGCATTGGTCTGCCCTGCAACTCCGTTGCTGCCTCTAGGCTGCCCAGCTCAGGAGCGGTGACAGTGCAGAGCAGCCGCAGGGCAGCCCAGGCGGTGGTGACACAGGGAAGCCCAACGCAGTGCAGGCTCCAGGTGGCTGCACTAAGAACTGCTCAGCAGTGGTGAGGGGGAAGGGCTGCTTTTCCCCTGCAGTGAGCAGCAGTCTGCCCGGCAGCTACCGCTGCTGAGCCTACATGGGCGAGTCCGGAGCAGGCATGAAGAGCGCCGGGTGGGGGTGGTGCATGCAGGTCCCTTCTGGAATTGCGGGACTGGGGCCAATGGGAGCCAGAAGGAGGAGCCGATGCCTGGGTTGACTAGAAAGGCAGTCCAGCCATGGAGCTGCCCCAGCCCCACTGGGTTGCCAATGGGCGGCAGGGAATGTCATAGCCACATGGCGCCTGGGCCAGGCTGGACAAAGGGACCTGCCATGGGCCGGACAAAGCACTTCCGTGGGCCATATTTTTCCCACCCCTGAATTAGATGGTGCTAGGAAGGGATGCACACAGCACCTTTACACTGCTTTATCCTGTATTTTAACCAAATTGATATTTGAAACTATGAACTGTTCAGCTTAATGACTCCCAACAAGTCACTCTCAGTTCTTCTAAGACAAAGTTTCTTTTTAATAGAATTGTATAATTTCAGGCAGTGCTATTTCGTCTCTTCTTTCTTTTGACAGACATGCAATGGTTGTGGAATCAGGATGCTTCCCGAGACTTACTCCTAGCAGTTCATCCACCAAACTATATTGTCCTGTGGAATGCAGACACAGGCACCAAGCTCTGGAAGAAAAGTTATGCAGAAAACATTCTTTCCTTTTCATTCGACCCCTTTGATCCTTCACATTTAGCTTGTAAGTTTGCTTACATATATATATATTTAGTATCTTTACCTTTTTGTACATCTATTTTATGCTGCCAATATTGCATGGACAGGAATTTTTTTAACATCAACTACTAACGTGTCAAATCCAAAATAACCAACACCTTCATTCTGATCACTATACTGATTGTCATGAGGGCCCACTCAATTGAAGTACTCCAGGTCACTCTTGACTGCTTCTTTGAAGCATAGGAAATGTTTGGACTCACTGGATGCATCTACATGAGATGCTAACTGTGCAGTAGCCTAATAACACTGCACAGTAATGTGCAGTGTAAAAACTATGCTAATATGCTACTGCGCAGTTAACATCATTAAAAAGCCATGTGCTGGTGCTACTGCGCAGCAGTGCCAGTTACTGCACATTGATTTAGTACTTGGGTATACAAGTACTAAACTCAATACGCAGTAACTATGGTGCTTTAATGAATGTTAGACACACCCACTGTCAACTTCACTGAAACCAAGATACCTTACCAACCGACCCCAAACGAATCAGCTGTTCCACCACACATTACAATTAAAGGATAAACCTTGGAGAAGGTTGATCTTTTTTCTTACCTGGGTAGCCACCTTTTTGAAAAAGAAGATGATACTCAACGCTGGATAAAATCTGGTGGTGCCATCTTTGGACAACTCCAAAATTGTATCTTTGATGATCGTGACATCAGGACCCAAGCTTCTCGTCTAAACAGGCTGTTGTCATCCCTAACCTGTTGTATGGGTGTGAAACTTGGATGATTTATTGGAAGCACATGAAAACTTCAGAATGTTACCATGAATGATGTTTTTGTAAAATCCTCCGTATCAGTTGGAAGGATAGAACAAATGCCAGTGTTCTGGTTTAATCAGGCACCACCAGCATTGAAGCCATGGCTGGAGGAGAGAACGTGTGAAGAGTTTTGAAGTTAACAACAAGAAGTGATGTAGGATGTTCAGGGCAAGGAGCTGAGAGGTTAGGGATCCAAACAGTTTACACCTAGATAAGACAAGGATGAAAACATTAGAGGTAGTGTTTGGTGGAGGGGGACTGTGAGCATTTGGTAAACTGGAGAGGAGAAGGTTACAGTATGTGGAGACAGTCTGGACATGCACAAGTATTGTAGCCACTGGGATGGGAAAGTAGCGTGAGGTTTTTCTACGTGTCGTGCAGGAAGACGTAATAGACTGAAAGGGGCACATTGGTGTTATACTCAGTTTACTAGTTTTGTGAACAGGAAAGAATCGGGTTTGGGCAATGACAAAGATAAATAACAAGGATGTGGAAAACGGTCAGGAAGGAAAATATAAATTCTTCGAATTCTTCCCCAGGACATTGCTGTAGTAATTCTAGTTGTCTTTTTTTCAGAAATATATATCCTAGCTTTGCAGAGAAAAAATCATTTTGATCGTTGTGCTGTTCAAAACTTTGCCTGTCCTTTTTGTAGAAGCAGCAAAACAAAGCAAGTCGGGTTTGAATAAAATTCAGCATGAATGGTGTTTGGATTTTGATATAATTAGGGAAATTTGCTTCGGATTCTGAAGACTGAATGTAAAAGTTATTTTATTATTACTTGCTCTTTGTTTACTGCATTCCCAAGGATAATTCCACCTCTGCCACTAATCAGTTGCAGCTTTCATGCATATTTCCTGATTTATGGTTCTTTTTTCATCCATAAAATGGGTAGAGAACTTACTGACATGGGCAAATGGGGGGGGGGGGAATGCGGTAGTGCAGTTGCACCTCTTTTGATTCCAGGGTCGGCCCTGGCTGCAGTTCTTAAGAAATGCCTGGCAGTGACAATAGCATTTCTACTACATTTCTTGGTGCATTATAACCTGATTCCTTCTAAACTTTTCATTCCACAGGTGTTAACGGCCCTCTCTCTCCCCTTTAATGGGCATGATGTTTCACTAATTAAGCTATCTTTTCTTCTGCCATTCTGCTGTCATCTAGTAGCTCTTGGTAATGCAGCTCCTCGCAGCCCTGCAGACTGTTTTTAACTTTAGCTAGAACTGTTAACTCAGGTGAACATTAACTTAGATGTGGATATAACTTTCAGTGAAGCATTGGATGCGCTGTCGAACTGCTCAAGAAGGCTAGCTTTTGTTTTATGAATCTGAAAGAGGTGTACGTTTATTTCTAGTGGCCACAGGATTAATTAAACAACATCTTTTGATTATGTGTGCTTTGTTGTTTTTTTAATACATAATAGATGATAAAGCAAATTAACGCTCTTTCTAATAAAGTTACATTGTTTTTTGTTTTGATTTTAAATGGAATAATATAGCTGTATGGCCCAGCAGATTAGTAAAGCTTCTAGGTGATTTTTAACTGAAAATGTGTATATTGTTTTATATGTGATGATGTGCTACAGCATCTGCACTGCCCTTTTCAAAATCCTAAATCTACCCATGATTACCCATTTGATTTGAAGCTTTAAAATCCTGTGCAAGTGCAAACTATTCTCTTGGGACTGGGAGTTCCCCCAGTTCTTAGGGAGGAAATTTCCAAAGGCATGAAGGGGAATTGTCAGCTGAGTCCTGTTTTGTAATTTTACATATTTCCCTTTAATCAGGGAGTATTTACCATTGAGTGTTTTGGTATAGGGCACTGATTAATCCTGATGGAGGCTTCTAATATAGTATTAAGCGGCTGGACGTGGAGCCTCCGCTTCACCCAGCTTCGTGCTGCAGCTGCTCCGCCCCGCTCCACAAAGCACAGGGCACAGAGCAGTCGCCCCAATTTGCCCCCGTCCCCCGGGTCGGCCCTGGCTGCAGTTCTTAAGAAATCCCTGAATTACCTTGCTTTGTTTCAATGGAATGTTAATTCTGGACACGATCCATGATTTATGATGATTTACTGATACTTTCAACTGTTTCACTTTAGATTGTGGTCAAGAAAACTAGATTTAGCTAAGGTGTTTGTCTCAAGTGCCTCTCCTGTCCTTCTGAGAGTCAGCACCTCACCTGTCATATCTTCTGCTGCCAAAACCTCTGTCTGCTTCTTCTGATAGCTTGTAGTACAGTTATGCATGTTCAATATAATATTCTGTAGCCTGTTAGAATTGGAAAATTTGAAGGTCAGAGAAAAATAACACAAGAGTTGCAGTACTAATTAATTTCCATATTTAATTGGATAAATGCCCATATGCTTGATTTTATTTGAAATTGCTAGAATTTCTAATCAGGGCACCAGAGTTCTGGGAATACTGAGGACATTGCATCGGAGTACCCCAAGCCCTGCATATAATATTTTAAAGTGAAGAATTGTTTATTTAAATGATCAAGATAAGCAGTTGTTTCCACTAACAGTTGATAAGCACTTTTTCTGTATGCATCTGCACCAGAAGTGCTGAGTGGAAAAAGGGGCTGAGAATATGCACATGAAAAGTAGCTCATGTTTTAATTATATTGTTTAATGTGGCTATTTATTTGGTTACCTTGTTCAGATTTTCCCTATTGGAATAATATGCTTCATAGACCAGTCCAAAGGATGAAATTGTGGGTAATAACCCCACTGCCACTAATTAAAGATGTGACCACAGTTTTTGTTTAACCCAAAAGTACAAATGTGGTATGTAAGCAGGCTGGGCTGAATAAATATAATTAATTCTCTTATTGCAGCATAGTAATGAACAACTAGTGCTTTTTGTGGTTATCATGCTTCATAACTTTTAATACTAAATGAAAAACCTCTGCAACTTCTTGTTCTTGTAAAGGATGTGAGTATTATCCTTGTTTTATAGATACAAGGATACTTGTTTTTTGTTCAAGCTCACACAGAGTTTTCCTGTGCTGCTGTTATGAGTTAACAAATTGTGTGAAGGTAAATCAAAAAAACAAGCTGATCTCTAGCCTCCTCTAATAGTCTTGACTCTGACTAATGTTATCCAAAGTACCTTACTTTTACTATTATAACCTGCTAACCAACCCGAGTTGAGAATGCAGATATCAGACCCCACTGTGCTGAGCAATGAAGAAAGTCTTAGGAACAGTATACAGCTTAATATATCTAATTTAAGATATTAAGCAACCAATAGTTGTTTGTTATTACAGGGGTGTGTGAGTAAAGAGCTAATGTACATGTTCTTGAGTCATTTGTTGAGGCCTTTATAAATAATAAAGTAGTTATCAATCACAAACATATTAGAAAAAAAAGTAGGCCTCTAATATTTGGGTACCACTGTCTATCATGCTAACTAAAATGGTTTTGTTTCTTAGTATTCTCCCATCTGTCTATATCCATCTGTCATTCTTTATACTTAACTCTGTGGAGCACGTGCTGTCTTTCTTTTCTCTTTTTCACAGATCCTAGCACAGTGGGGTCCTGGGCTGCTACGTGTCATGGCAGCTGAAATAAGAACTCTAGCAAACAGCTTAGTGATTATTAGCTCACAGTTAGCATCATGGTAAAATTCTTGAGGAGGGATTTAGAGGGTAGAATAGTGGTAGCATGGCCTAATTTGAGGAAGACATTTCATATAGAGGGCACAAAGGAGGAATCATTGGCGGAGCGGAGCATTATTATCCACAGAAGTGGGTAATGATGAAAGAGTATAGTTGGGAGAGGACTTGAATATGATACAGTAGAAAAGAAGCTAATGGAAGTTGAAAAGATGGGAGCACCATCCATACAAGGGGCAATAGAAATATTGTTCCTTGTATGGAGAATGATATGAGTTTCAGAAGAACCACAGCAAAAGCAGATAATTATGGTTTGGACTCGATTCTTAGCAGCCAAGATAGGGGAAAAGGGTGAATATTTTAAATGTTGTACAGATAGCAAGATATGATCATGACCTGAATCAGCGTTGGGGGGGGGGAGTCGAGATTATAGATGATGCTGATGTTTTACGACTAAATAATAAGAGAAATGAACTGGAGAGCAAAGACAAGAAATCTAGCATTAACTCTTTAAATTGCTTTTGAATTGTCCATCATGAGCAACCCATGTGACAGAATGGGATACAAAATCAGAGGGAGGAGTCAGGACAGAGGTGTGAAGAGATTTATAAATTGTTCTAAAGATGATGGTAGAAGCTGTGTGTAGGTAAGATGACTTCCATAAAGACAGAAGAGGGAGAGGAGAACCAACAACCATGCCCTTTGTCTGCCACAGACAGAGAGTCAGGAAAGAGGAAGACTCCCTGGAAGGGAAATGCTTAAATGAATGACCACAGAAGTAGGAGGAATACAGGGATAGACAGTGTTTTGGCATAGGGGACTAAAGAGGAGAGTATAAGCAAGAGTCAGAAGCAGCTGAGATGTCAAGGAAGATGAAGTACAAATTTTTTAGTTCAGTTGAAATTTCATAGACATCAGGGCTGGAAGGGACCTCGGAAGATCGAGTCCAGCCCCCCGCCCAAAGGGCAGGAAGTCAGCTGGGGTCATAGGATCCCAGCAAGATAAGCATCCAGTTTCATCTTGAAGGTGTTCAATGAAGGCGCTTGAACCACCTCCGGTGGCAGGCTGTTCCAGACCTTGGGGGCTCGGACAGTAAAGAAGTTCTTCCTTATGTCCAGCCTGAAACAATCTTGAAGTAGTTTGTGACCATTCGACCTCGTCATCCCTTGGGGCGCTCTGGTGAACAAACGTTCCCCCAGATGCTGGTGGTCACCCCTGATAAACTTGTAGGTGGCCATCAGATCACCCCTTTAAATGGGTGAAAGATGTGGCAAAGATGTAATGAAATAATCAACATTTCATTCCTGAATTTAGTTCTGTCAGTAATTTTGCCTTGAAAGATAGTTTCTCCATACCTTACTCTACCTAGAGTTCATCATGGCAGCTTACAGACAAAAAAAAAAGAATAGCTTTTTTCTTTAAACTCTCCGTGCTGCTGCACCAAACTCAGTGCATGCCCAGAAGTTGCCTCGCGTTAGTTGCCTCACCAAATGTCTGTATAGATCAGGCAGTTTATTGGGGCTTGTTTGGCATTTTTATTTAAGAGTTGATTGAAGCAGCTATTAGATGAAAGTGCCAGAAAGTTCTCTGCTGAAGCACCTGATCTATACAAACACTGCGTCTTCTGGTAAAGTGATTTTTTTTTGGTTTTGGTTTGGTTTTTTTTTTAACATATGTAAGCAGCCCATGTCAGTTATACCAAAGCTTTTGTTTGCATATGCACACATATATAATATTAAAAATACAGAGATGTCAGTCATTGATCCACAGTTGTTATGCTGTCATGTAAATAATGTCATAGTTAAAGTTCCTGGGGGACCATCGCTTTGTATGAGCATGAAAATGTAGATTTATCCTTGCTGGATAACTGGTTTCCTTAGCTTTGTAAAACTTAATGAGGAATAGTTGATGGCAGAAAATCACTGTACTGAATTAATGTGAAAGGACAAACAAGAAGTTTCTGCCAGTAATCTTACAGATCTTACAGTATTTTTTAATATAGGGACTTAATTTTGAAGTATTGAGTTTTGTGGCCTCTAATGAATTGTAATGGACCATCTGCTGTTCTTTCACCAGAAGATTCCTGTTAGCTAGAATTATGTATTTCCCAGCTTGTTCGACATTATTCAAACTATTACCATTTCCCCACACCAAAATTACCTTAATAATAAAACATCATGATAAAATTGTACATACTATTTTACTATAATAAAAAATGTTTTTCTTGTTACAGTGCTCACCAGTGAGGGCATAGTGTTCGTCTCAGACTTCTCTCCTTCCAAGGCTCCTGCCAGTTCAGGGAAAAAAGTATACATCTCTAGTCCACATTCTAGTCCTTCTCACAAGCTGGTTGCTGCTACAGGAGCTAAAAAAGCCCTTGATAAAGTAAAAATTCTAATCAGTAATGAAAAACCAAGGTAAGTTGTAAGCGTCTTGCGTTTCTTCATACATAGACATCATTCTACACATCTGCAAGTTATTTCTTTCTCTCTCCATTTTCTGTAAATACTAGTTGGATTTTATTGTTGAGTACTCATTAAAAAACAGGGGTGAACGAAGGAGACAGTAATACAAAGGGAATAACGGTTATTTCTTTCAGTTCCATTTCTACACCTTTACCACCATAGCAATACAACTAAAGAGCATCTCACCCTGTGATTATGAAATACAAAGGATATGAAGGCGGGAATCAACTTTTAATGAATTCTTAAAGCATGTTTTTCCTTTTGATTCTCTGGTTGAGGTTTAATTTGAAAACTCAAAAATTATTCTTGATTTCAATAGTTGAAAGGGAAAGAACCTTTTATTACGGTACATTATGGACAAATACACTTTTTGTCAAACCGGCTGTTACCCTTTTGGAGCTCTGATAAGTTTTGATTTTATTCCTTCTTTTATATTCTCAATAGAATTTACATATTCTAATTGAAAGTTCTTATTCTTCTCTTGCCAGATGGGTTTGTAAAATGTTAATGTAATTTAATGATGTTTCTCTACTTGTCTGTTTGTATGTAATATGATAACTTTTGAAAATCACATCTTACCAATTCAAAGATTTCAGGGTAGGTTTTTTACATGAATAGATGAAAGGTTGTTGATTTGAGGAGGAAATTGAAAAGCCAGGATGGAGAAACCTGAGGTGGGGGTTGGGGTATACTGGGAGCCATTGGTGGAGGGATGGTGGAGGTGGGGTGCCCTGACTCTTGTGAGGAGGGGACTAGCTGCAGGTCTCCTGATATGAGTTAGGAGGTGAAAAGGTTGCACAGACTCGTCAGAATTGAGCAGGACGGGAGTGTTGGTACATAAGACTAGAGGTGCACCAGTACATTTGTCCATATCACATCGGCACCAATAAAAGGAAAATGGACATTATCGTCTAATAAAAAAAGTTGATGTGGCCGATAATGTTGCTGATAAATGCCTCATGCATGCATGCAGCCACGGTATGCATTTGGCCAGGAGCGCAGCCCAGCAGCTTGGAGAGCAGCATTCGGCTGGTATATCTGTAGGGGGAAGGAGGGTGGGGAGAGAAGGGACATGGTGGGGG